TAGGTCCAACCAAATCCCAGAATTCCCCACATTTTCCTTATTTTCTGGATCTTCGTCCTCCCCCCGCTTCCCATATTTTCCCATCTTTTCCTGGGAGTCGACGATTCCTTGTGTCTGTGTGTTTTTCTCCCTCCTGTACAAGCCCAACCTGTCGGCGGTCTGCGCCGAGATCTCGGATCGGCGCTGTCCCCCCCTTGGCGGCGCCTCGGGGGACCGCCCCAAGGTGCCCGCCGCGCACCGAGGAGGGAGGTCCAGCGCCGGTGCAAGAACTCCGCGCGGGCCTCCGAAGGATTGTGTTTAGGTCGCGCGTGTCCCCCCCTTCAGGCGGACGATGGGCGAGCCAGAAAAGATCCAAAAATGGCCAAAAAAGGATCCAGGAAGCGTCCCCCGGCGAATCTTTTGTGGACCAGCTTCGAGAGTATGCCTCCTGTAGAGGGACTGGCCCCGACGTAGGGCTGTGTCTGTGCTGCCTCTTCTTCCTCTTCGATGCAGGAGCCGCCCTCGCCGCGCCCAGGCGGGCCCGCCCGCGGCGAACGGGAGGCCGCCCGGGTGCAGCAGCCCGCTGCGCCGCGACGCGTCGAGGCAGGCGGCGCCGAGCACCAGGGAGGCGGCGCGCCGTGGAAGCATCCTCGGACGCCAAGCTCGGAGGGGCAGTTCGGAGGAGGAGGAGGAGGAGGAGGAGGAGGAGGAGGAGGAGGAGGAGGAGGAGGAGGAGGGGGCAGTTCGGAGGAGGAGGAGGAGGAGGAGGAGGAGGAGGGGGCAGGAGGAGGAGGAGGAGGAGGATCACGTTCGACGAACTCTATACTATAGCCACCAGGACCCAGGAATCAGGAGAAGGATAGCAAAGGGGGGGGGGGAGAATCAGCTCACGCAGCTGATTCTCCCGGCGCCTCCTGGCGCCGGGAGGCGCCCATGCATCGAGGAAGGGGCCCCTCGGTGGGGCCGAAACCAGCCGCACGCAGCAGATTTCGTAACCCCCCTGTCCCTATCCCCCCTTTTCGTTCGGCCCGAGATGGGCAGTCGGGGGGACGTCAACCGACCACGTCGCCGGTCCTGGCCAGTGCGACCCCGGGCCCAGCCTCCGGGCTTGGCCATGGAGGCAGGCGCGCCGCTCCTGGGCCGAAGGTGGGCCTCGCCAGGATCGGTGGGGTGGTCAGCGGACGCCCTCCGAGGGCGAGGTGGCGAGGAGTGCCAGATGGGCAGGGGGCAGGGCAAGACGAAGGCAGGACGAGGACAAAGTCGGATGAGGATACATCGGGGATCTCTGAGAGGCAACTCCTGGAAGCTCTTCGCGGGAATGGCTCAAGCGCTACTGAGCCCGCTCGATTCAGCCAAATTGGGCCCGGTGTGGCGCAAAATTACACATGCCAGACTCACCCAAATTAGCCCGGATCACCCACTGGGCCGGATCAGGCCGGCTAGTTCACGAAGAAAATACAGGCGCCGATGCTGAATTTCACATCCCATGGATTGCACCCCAAATGTGGACAAACTCGGATGAGGGCCAGGCGCCGCGGTCGTCACAGAGCGCTCCAGCATGCTCTGACAGCATTCCGGAACGCTCTGGAGCGAGTTATCCTCGTCCCAGGCCTGCCTGACAGGGGAGGGGCGACGGCGAGAAATACCAGGGGCCGATTGATGAGGCTGGTCGAGCCGACACTTGAGCCGGAGCTACGAACACCACATGCACGCAGCGGCTAGCAGCTGGGGCGGCGTGCAGCCGAGCAGCGGAGCAGCGGAGCGGCGGAGCAGCGGCGGCGGCGGCTCTCGCAGCCCCAGGGGCTCCCCACAGCCGCCCTTCGACAGCGGCACAGGCAGGGAGGCGAATGCGGCTGACAGGGGCACGAACAGCGGAGCGAGCTCGGGAGGCAGACGTCGTCCCAGCCGCACCTCCGAGGCTCAGGCCAGTCCTGCGCACGGGGCGGTGCGCCAGAGCGGCCCGGCAACCGACAAGAGGGTCCGGGGCATAGGCCGGGACGGGCGAGGGCCCACGCCCGCGAGACAGCCCGCACAGGGGCCCTCCAAAGGCCAGCCCCGGCGGCCAGGGTATACCGCCGTCGAACCCCGGCGCCCAGCCGCCTGGACGCCTCGCGCACCTCCCTGGCCCCGATCCCTCCTCCTCCTCCTCCTCCTCCTCCTCCTCCTCCTCCTCCTCCTCCTCCTCCTCCTCCTCCATCCTCTCTCCTCCTCCTCCTCCTCCTCCTTCCTCCTCCTCGTCTCCTCCTCCTCCTCCTCCTCCTCCTCCTCCGTCCTCCTCCTCCTCCCCTCCTCCTCCTCCTCCTCCTCCTCCTCCTCCTCCTCCTCCTCCTCCTCCTCCTCCTCCTCCTCCTCCTCCTCCTCCTCCTCCTCCTCCTCTCCTCCTCCTTCCTCCTCCTCCTCCTCCGCCTCCTCCTCCTCCTCCTCCTCCTCCTCCCTCCTCCTCCTCCTCCTCCTCCTCCTCCTCCTCCTCCTCCTCCTCCTGCCTCCGTCCTCCTCCTCCTCCTCCTCCTCCTCCTCCTCCTCCTCCTCCTCCTCCTCCTCCTCCTCCTCCCTCCTCCCCCGCGAGCCCTGGCACGAGCGTCCCCTGCGCGCCCTCCTGCCTCGCCGAGGCCTCCCCCCCCTCCCCCCCTCCCCCGCTGCTGCCCGCCGTCCCGGGCTGCCTCCCTCGCCCCTCCCTCCGCCACAGGGGCCCCCTCCCCGGCACGGCCAGGGCATCGGGGCGCCCCTCTCCAGCCTGGGCTGCCCGCGCTCGGGGAGGGAGGCCAGGGAGCGGCGGGAGGCAGAGGTGCGCCGGCGGTGGCCCCACACTTTTGATGTTTCTTGTGCTTCATATGTTTAGACTTGCTTTGTCTATGATGTGTTACAACCCCGCGTCAAAAATCTACAGCCACCAAGAATCACTTCCAATCTCACCACCTCCAAGAATCTCAGCATTCCGAGGTGGCGCGACGGAGCGAAATTGCACAAAACGTCGACGCCTGCATCCAGCAAGTGCACTGGATGAAAAGTCATTTGCTGGGCGTTGTGCTGCAGGCGGCGCCGTTGTCCCTATACCGGAAAAAGGAGGGGGCTCCACGAACGAGCACTGCTCTTGGAAAAGCTGGGTGCGCCTTCATGGGAGCCTCTGTAGACCTCCCCTGTCCTGTCATGAACGCGATTTCGACACCGAATTTCGTCGAAATCTCGTCCAGATGTCGTCCAATTGTCGACCACATCCGACGAACTCCCGACGAAATCTCAAAAACTGCATGAAAAATCGGGAACTCCTGAGGGAACTCCTGATGCTCCCACGACGAAGGGAGAAGAGGGCGAGAAGAGTCATTGCACGGGCCTTGCAGACGTGCTGCAGCGGATTTTTGCGTGGATTTCTGCATGGACTTTTGCCCGAAACGGCAAGTTAAAAACGAAGTGAATTTCGCGTGCGTTCTTTTTGGTCTTCATCCCTGGGCAAAAAAATCCGAGCGAAACTCACCTCGAAATCCGGAAAGAAATTATCCAGGACACCCCGGGCCGCTCTACGATGTGGGCGCCACGAAAAGTCGGGGATCTTCTGATCAGGGTCAATCCAGACCCGGGTCAGCAGGAAACCAAAAAACTGCAATGCCGGAAAAAAAACTGCAACGCAGGTCTTCGCAGACCCGGGCCAGCCAATGTGCGCGGCCGCCTCGCGGCCACGAGCGGCTCGCTGACCCGGGGTCAGCCAGAGGGGGTCTTCGCAGGATCATGCAAGATCTGGTGCCCTGGCTGACCCCCGTTTGCACTGACCCCCGTCTCTTAGGCCCCGCAGGAGAGCACCCGGGAAGCTTAAGAGTAATTCCGGCGCGCTGGCGGGCTAGTTGGCTCGAAAAATCTCGACGGAAATCGTTTGTTTTGCCTTTTTAAAGCGCATTTTCTCGAAACTCAACAATACGTTAGAGTTATTATAATTTTTGTTCACCCATCCTCGATCGAAAGATTGCCCCCCCCCCCCCAAAAAAAACAAAAAAAAAACGGAGGATTGCAACAAAAAAAACCAGGATTGCAAAAAAAAAAAAAAACGAAGGATTGCAAAAAAAAACAGGATTGCAAAAAAAAAAAAAAAAAAAAAAAAAAAAAAAAAAAAAAAAAAAACGCTCGCCATGTGGCGGAGCGAAGGCCACTGCCCGCTCGCCACCACACGGCGTCCGCTCCTGGGCCCCGGGCTCGCGGCCTGGGCCACGGGCGCCAGCGCCCTCGCGGAGCTCGAGCTGTGGAGGAAAGCAGGCCTTAGCCCGCTGCCCAGGCCACCGCAGCAGGCACAGAGCGCGAGAGAGAGAGAGAAAGAACAGAACAGAACAAAAAAAAAGGCGTTTCTTGACTCTCGGCGATCATGGGCAATAGGGGGGGAGGGGCCAAGGGGGGGGATTGTTGTTGGTTATTTGTTGTTTTACAACCCCGCGAATCAACAATCTCACTACTTCCAAAAATCACACGAACGCCAGACGCAAAGCAGCTACCTTCGGCAGCCGCTCTGCGAAGAAAAAAAACATCTGGGCATAATGTAACACCTCCCCCCCGCCGAGCGCACGGCGGCAGTGCCCATTCCCTCTGTGCTCTCCTTCCCTGCCTGTTTCCCGCTCCTCTTTCTCCTCCCCGGGGGGTGCTTTGTGTTGCGTCGATTGCGCCAGCCCTCTCTTCGTTCTGGCCCTCTCCTCGGTGTCTGTTTGCCCCCTCCCTCTCTTTTCTTCTGCCCCTTCCCGTTCTACCGCCCTTTCCCCTCTCCCCGTCCTCTCCTGTTCTTTGTTTCGATGCGTTTTGCAGCTTCTGTGCTGGTCTTGCCGGCGTTTCGCTCCGTTCTTCATTATTTGTTTTTGTTGTTGTTTGGTTCGGAAGCTGTCAGTTGTTTCTTGCGGTTGCCTCGGAGTGGCCGTCATCGTGTTTTTTGTTTCGGCCATCATTCCCAACGGGCCAGTGCTCCTTGTCTGCCCTGCTTTTCACTGTGGCCGAAAGCCGCGAGCATGCGTGCAGCAATGGCGTGGTCATCGTCATGATTGTCTGGAGGC